AGAAGAAATACGAAAGAGTACGAACTTGGCATCCACTAAAGAACGAAATGGTTGTAAAAATATTTGCTACTCTCGTGTCATTGACCTCACGCTTCTGTCTTTCGATGTGAGCTCAGTGCCCATTCTAGCTGCGTACTTTTAACACGAACGAGAAGTAAGGATTTACGATTACCTTGTCTTAAAAGCTTAAAGTTTGAAATTTTACTGCTTGAAGGGAACGAGACCACGACAGCAATTTATATTTCAGCATAAACACCTAAATAAAAAGAAACTCGGAACATACGAGCAGAATTAATGAAAGAAAAAGCGAAAATTATTTACATGACTATCACAGTTAAGAATAATAAAAAACTGACAGAACTATCTTTGACATTGAGCGTGGTCAAATCATAACAGGTGAGGATGCGGTACAGTCGTGGAGGAGGCGCAATGAGGCTTGCCAAACAGATTGTCGGCCGAACTCTGCCCTGGCATAGACATTGGTTGTTCAGTGAGCAGAACCTTGTCAAAAGCTCGTGAATACAAACTGCACTTGGGTCTCTTGCCTTTCGTCCTTCCGAGGTAGTTCAATAAGAACGACTATCTGGGAAAGGAAACAACATGTTACTACTGACTTTCTACATATCTGTAGGCGCTGCCTTTAAAATAAGGCCCTCCTGATAATAGCTTAAAACCAGAAATCGATGCTGTACCATAAGCTGTAATAATTAAAAAGGTCTCACAAATGGCATCCATCAAGGAAACGTAACACATACCGATATCCCGCTGGTCACAAACCTTCCTCGTGCTTTTTTCTTATTTTCTGTCTGGCATATTTGTGAACATGTCGGTGGTTGCGCTGGATGATAGCGCTGAATGCAGCTGCTTCCGCTGCACAATTATCAAGTTTCCCCGAAGAAGAAACAACAAAATGCAATTACCTCTTGTCTGAGGATGGGAAACTTTATGGTTCTATCGGCAGCCCCTAAATAAAATGAATTGCATGTCCTGCGACAACATACATACGACCGTAGTGCTACAAAGAAAATGTGAGCTTCGGTAGCAAAGCGAAAACAACGAAGTCATACCTGTTCCTTTGATAGAGCGCTTCACCTTAGCGCTGCTAAGTTGGAACAGTGAATCAGTTCAGCAAAAGAGCACCGTCAAATGAGTCAAAACGATCAGCTCCTCGTTCATTACATGTTTGCATTGCCGCGCAGTGCAAATATTCAAAAATCTGCCAGCTAAAAATTTCTCAGTATTTGCAACGCAAATATTGACTTTGGCCGCGATTCGGCTTCTAATGGCATTTCAGCAATCTCCTGTTAGGAGTCTTGACTGAGTAGTATGCAGCATTTTTTATACTAATACTTCGCTTATACTAAAAGGAGTAACTTTCAGTTCTAAAAAATGGATCATACTTCTTTTAATCGAAAATTACGGAGCCTACAAAATGGATCAGAGGATCCTACGTAGTGCATAACAAGTAAGATTCCAACACAGTGGCTTTCTGTATTGCCGATGGTCTTCCACTTCTTATCTGAGGGCAAGTCACAAACTTCAGAAAGCTAGAAACTGAAGATGAGCCCTGAACTTGAATCTTAACTTTTTAACCAAACGTCATTAATCTGGGTACTCTGTACTTGACCGTGATACTCCAGATGACGATGACAACAACTACTTCTGATGCGCTACTCCATGGGAACATTTGGAAGTAAATTCTGCTTCTCTCGTTCAACATGCAAAAGATATTTGCAGTTAAATCAGGGGGTCATGGTCAGGAACATGACAAAGAATTTACTGAGCTAAACACTTTAAAACTTACTTCGGTACTAGTTCTGGACTTCACGTCCATTACACACTGGTAATGTTTACTAGAAACAACTCAGCCGAACTCAAGCCGCTCGCCACAGCAGATAGCAGCTGGCGTATATTTTAACAAAAGAAAAAATGAAGTAAAAAATTTTATACCATACGGTACAAACACGAAAAGAAAGATGCTAGTTCGAATCGAAGTTAGCCTGCAGCTTAGTTTGGAATTGACAAAAATCCAGCATATCAAATCTACCGTTTCTCCCTGTGCTATCAGATTTTTTATCCACTATTCGTCCAACTTAAAATTTTATTTATTTTGAATTAATGAGATGTCAGGTAGAGTGACGAGCAAACAAAGCTTTCAGAAGTTATATGGTTTGTGAAAAAATTATATAATGTAAAATTGCTTCATTTCACAAACATAGGAGTTATACGGCAGTCATTAATACTAACTAAGGAATGTTTATGATTCGTTATAATTTGACGCAAGTCTACAGAAATTATTGGTTTATATCCAAACCACTAGAAAATAAACGGGGAAGAAGGTAGTACCCCGATGAACAGGTAGTTTGTTTT